TTATTATTATTATTATTATTATTATTATTATTATTATTATTATTATTATTATTATTATTATTATTATTATTATTATTATTATTGGTAGGATAAAAATGAAACTGTGGTATTGTGGTGCCAGAGGCAACCCTGGTGCTACAGATTATGAGCCCAGTCTTTGGATAAACCTGGAGCAGTTTAAACTCTGCAAATCCCACGCCCCAATCCAATTCTTGAAAGAAATGACTTTCCCTGCCGGAACCGATCACATCCTATCGTTATCTGACCCCCGTAGTCAAAAGCGGTGTTCAAAAAGAAAGGGTTGGGGGGGAGGGGGAAAGAAAGAAAAAAAGTTACCCTTTCTCGACTGCAAATCTCAGTTCCGTTGTACATATTTTGACAAGGACAGGGAAAATATCCTTGGCAATAATTGCTTCGGAGATCCGTGTTTGACAGCTTGATCAAGCCGCTCGGAAAAAAACAACCCAAAAACGGATGAGCAGCGCTTTGGGGAAAAAATGAATCGCTGAACTCGGAGCCAAAAAGGACAATGTTCAGTTTTCAAAATGTGCCAAGATCCTCGCGTTAGCTTTCTTTCCCACAAAAGGAGGATTAGGGTTCTCCCTCTCCATTGCGCTTCAGATACAAGCAAGAATAAGTGTGGTTTAGGCTTCCTATCTCCTCCCACTGCGAACGAGAGACAGTGCTGAATCGACGGTAATCATGACCGTGGTTTGAGGGAAACCTTGATTTTTATAAAGGCCAAAGCGGCGGGTGGTAGATTTTATATTTTTAAATGCCTCCACCGTGTCCAGTAGACCATTAGAATTCGCCTCAACGCAGCTTGCAAGTAGAGGTAGGTCACTCCGACACTTCCTTTTAAAACATTTTCCAATGTCTTCTGCTGGAGCAGCAATCTGCAAATCCCGGCGGGATCGTAACTACAGGTCGGCTGCGGTCTGATTTGCTAATGTGCCCTTGGATTCCGTGTCTTGAAGAGAGAAGCTCTCCTGGCTGGAAGAGAGGATGGAAAAAATGGAGAGGAAGAGGAAAAGAGAAGAGGGCCTCCGTGAGAGGGAAGAAGCTTTGAATAACATAGGTTTTTCTTTTTCTTTTTTTTATTCATTAAACATACTTTATGCCCTCCATGTCCCCTATATAAGGCGACCCTGGGAGGCTTACAAATGATAAAGTAAGTAAAAAAATACAGGTAGTCCTCAATGTACAACCAACGTTTCTGCTGCTAAGCGAGGCAGACACTTCTTTAACAGAACAGCTGCTTCCCTCAAGCCCTTTATAGGTGGTCCTCAACAACCACAATTGAGCCCCAAAATTTCTGTGGTTAAATGAAACATTTGTAAAGTGAATTTTCCCCCATTTTAGGACCTTGTTTGCCACAGTTGTTAAAAGAATCGCTGCAGTTGATTAGTTAGTAACCCGGTTGTTAAGCAAATCTGTCTTTTCCCCTTGACAATAATAATAATAATAATAATAATAATAATAATAGTAGTAGTAGTAGTAGTAGTAGTAGTAGTAGTAGTAGTAGTAATAATAATAGTAGTAATAATAATAGTAATAATAATAGTAGTAATAATAATAATATAACAACAACAACACCATTGGCATTGACAAATTTGCCATTAGTCAATTGCAAAAGGCGGCCTTCCTGGGAACTGCTTCCATCCTGCGACGAGATCTGTAATACCATCAAACATCCACATCTGCCTATCCCAGGTCCTTGGGAAGGACTCGATAGGTAGACAAAAATGCCAAATCCAGTCTGAACATCTGGCTGACTGTGCGATGATCCACAATAATAATAATGATGATGATGATGATGATGATGATGATGATGATGATGATGTTGGAAGGGACCTTGGAGATTGTCAGAGCATGCACAGTCTTATTGTGCTGAGGTAACCCAGGAGTAAATACAGTAAACAGCGGTTTGTATTAAATGGTGGTTTATATTACAATATCTATAAATATACTAGAGACAAAACACATACACATGATAATTCAGCAAACTCCAATACACAGCAATTACAGCAGGAAACGGACAAGAGAAAACACAGCAGCAAAAAACCTTCCCTTTTATACTCAGACTCTTAAAGGGATATAGACACCTGTGGAGTCATTCCTATCATTGCATCATCTACCTTAACTTTACATTACATCATTACATAAGCTGTTTAGCCTTTAAATCATTATCCTGACAGAGGTCATCTAGTCCAACCCCCTGCTCAGGCAGGAAACCGTACATCATTTCAGACAAATGGCTGCCAGTCTCTTCTTAGAAACTTCCAGTGTTGGAGCATTCACCGCTTCTGGAGGCAGGTTGTTCCCCTTGTCTGAAGGTCACAAAAGGGGATCGCACCACCCCGGGGACACGGCAACTGTCCTAAATATGAGTCAGTTGCTAAACATCTGAATTTTGATGCTGCAACGGTCGTAAGTGTGGAAAAACAATCACAAGTCCCTTTTTTTCAGTGCCGTTGTAATTTTGAAGAGTCACTAAATGAACTGCTGTAAGACAAGGACTGCCTGTAATTGTCTGAGTAAGAGTTTGGATTTGGTGCCCTTAGCTCTGCCAAACCTTGTAATGGATTTGTAGGGTGGAAGAAAGAAACAACTGGTGGAGATATTATTGGGGGGGGGAACAAAGAGGCAGCTCAACTCTATTCTTAGAAAAGAGATGCATCCTGTTTCCTTTTTTTAATAAACGAAATTAGGAATCTCACGAGGCTCCAGACCTGGTTATTACACGATCATCTTCCACCCGAAGGCTATTTAACTAAAAGTAGAATTAAATAATCCTGAAACTCAGAACAGGTTGGCTAATGAAATGGAGCTCAGAGTTCTTCCACCATAAAAACCCTCCTGGCTTCGTTAAGTTTGCTTCATTTCAGCAGGATAATTTAGGATTCGGGCGTGGGGGCCTTTCGATGGCTACTGTTTTAAAAGTGCTCACCAGCAAGACAGCCTGTCGTCAATCTGGCTAATCTCGAAAAAGCTAGGAAGGATTTGGCAGGGTTAATCCCTGGATGAGAAAAAAAAAAATAAGGAATGCCAGAGCTGTACACTAGACTGAAAAATGCGGCGGGAGGGGGGGGATATCTTGGTAGACAGCAATGGCAAACTGTGTAATCCACCATATTATGTATCCTGGCTGTTCTGGGCATAATAAATGATAGCCCCTAGGTTTAGTCACCATGCAAAGCTCCCCTTATTTATTTCACTTAATTTTTGTATTAAGGAGACAGACTCTCTAGCACACATTTATATTGTTCATTTATATTGCAATCTTACAACTTATCAGCAGATGTGAGTCCATGAGGATCTCATTTATTTACTCAGCACACTTCTCTCCACAATCCTCTAACATTTTCTCTCTCTCTCTCTCTCTTTCTTTCTCTCTATCTATCTTTCTCTCTCTCTCTTTCTCTTTCTCTCTCTCTTTCTCTCTCTCTCTGTTTCTCTTTCTCTTTCTCTCTCTCTCTCTTTCTCTTTTTTTCTCTCTCGCTCTCTTTCTCTCTCTCTCTCTCTCTCTCTCTCTCTCTCTTTCTTTCTCTTTCTTCCTCCCTCCCTCCCTCTCTCTCTCTCACCAAGACAAGTAAACAGATAAAAAGAAAACAAACAAAATCTCCCAAGGAATTGTAGGATAACTCATATGAACGGCTATGCAGTGATACCGCATCTCAATCCAACGCCTGTGATATATTCATTATTTCGTGTTTTGCATTTCAAACTTAAAATTAACAGACTCAGTTTCTGAGAAATTGCTGGTGTGTTTTTCTTTGGGGAAAAGACCAATCT